TCTCGGCCCTAAGGACTCTAAGCAAACATTACGTGAGGATGATAATAATAATAATAATAATAATAATAATAATAATAATAATAATAATAATAAAATGAATTTCGGGAATTCTCGCCGTCGAGGAATTCTCTGAGTTGTACAGACAGTCACTCTATAGACTCATTAGAGTCGATAAATCAAAACGCCAAGTTCGAAATAAACATGGTTTGGATATAACGAGAAAGAAGTCGGTTTTGCGGTTTGGAAAAGTAAGTTCGGGCCGCTTTTCGCAGTTCTTTCTTTAATGCTTTTCTCCAAGTAGCGGAAGGATTGGACGTATTTCAAACTCCAGGTCCGCCATAATGCACGAGAAAGTATAAAATGAATTCGTGTGTTTACTTATGAGAAGGACACGGAAGTATAGAAGAGTTATTAACGAGATCCCCATAATTTTATCAAAAATCGTCTATCGGGGTTATCCTTATATACCAAGAGATTATCAAGGTAAGAGAGTGAATCCCCCATATAGGTCCTCTGACTAAGGTAATCCCTCTTAAGTTATTTTTAGACATAGTACCCAGTTCTTCTGAGGATGCTACTCGCGCGATGCCTGGACAGCCGAAGCGACTTTCTCGAAATGGCGGGAACGTCATTTTATATGTTTTGATTTCGTCTCATGGCAGAGATGTTTTCTGCACTCTCAGCCGTCTCTTTGTTCGGCCGGGATTTCGTTTGTTTTGTGCTAGTTTGGCTGTTCAGTATTTGGCTGTTTATTCGGTTTTAGGGAGTTTTTAAAATTAAGCAAACTTTAACGGCAGCGAGTATAATTGCGGTGTAAGCGTGCGTTATAATTCTTAATTCATTTCTTTGCCGTTGTTTACAAAAGACCACAAAACAACAACGTGAAATAGCCACATTCTGCATATTCGAGAGAACGTGAACTATACGACGGCCAATGTTTAAAATTTCTTTTTCGAATTTTGACGCTGTCTTACCGGCATATTCTGTTTGGGATATTTCTGACAGCATGGACAAACTGAATGAATCTAAACTCTCGCGAGATTCGTAGGTTGAATTCTAAGTCGTTTTTTAATCGACGTTGCCTTTGGCGTTGTTGCTGTTGCTGCTTAAACTGCTTTTGCTACTCGGGCAGCCATCGTCTTCCTGCACTTTCGACCATCTGTTTGTTCCGTTTCCAAGCTTGTGTTTGGGCGTTTGTTTGCTTTGCACTCGTTTGTCTACTCATTTCTCTGCCTATCATTCAGTTGTTATTGTTTGTGTAGGGGACATCCGTCTCTTATTTAAACTCCTATTAAACTTTCGAAATGAATTAAAACATACCGAGAGCCGAAGCTCCTTTGCTCGTAATCAAAATATCACAGAAGACATCCCCACAGCGTTGGAGGGTTTTCTTTGCTTTAAAACGAAACAAAACGAAACAAAAACAGATCCTCACAAAAACAACCACGTAACGCGCGAGTTAAATTCCTCGGAATAACTGGGTACAATGTCTAAAAATAACTTAAGAGGGATTATCTTAGTTGGAGGACCTATATGGGGGATTCACTCCCTTACCTTGACAATCTCTTCTATGTACTTACTTGCGAAACAACTCCCCGGAGCTAACAGGAAATCATGGATAGCGATGTCACCCTGGTAACTGCTTCCCCTTACCCCTTCAAATGTAGCCTACAATTATCTTTGAAACGATTGTAGCATTTTGAGAAAGGCTCTATATTGCACTTTATCTACTCACTTGAAGGACAAGACCCTGGTTCCAACAAAAAGTCGTCTATTGCGATGTCACCCTGGTAATTACTGCCCCGTATTCCTTCAAATGTAACCTACAACCATTACAAGAGATGAAGATAGGCATTTAAAGTGACAACAAAAATATCTGAGTAGGAGCACGATGCTACGTAAACAATTGCACGCCAATAGCCAATTAAACTTAACAAAATATGAAAATCGCTTATCCCACTAGGCTAACGGATGCCATGGGAGTTGATGAAATGACAATAACTCATATTATTTATCTAAACGAAGGTACATACACGTAAGACCTAAAATAAAAATGTTTACTTTTACAACTGGGAAAATGTATTTCATAGTAAATAACGTCGCAAAGGAACGTAAATTGGAGGTATAATTTAATGACATATACGCTTGAGTCATACATGTAGGTATTGCTATTATTAGATAAATGTATTGTTCTAAAAAACAAAGAAAAAGCACCATGTGCTGTCGCTGACCTCGAGTTCCATGAAAAACGACACAAAGTCGTTGCAATCGAAATAAACGATGCACCCTCCAAAAGGCATGATAATATCTCTTACCGCATGCTTTCCTGATAAACTGACATCAATAGCCGCTCTCAGCCACTTGTTGCCTTTATTCCCACTTGCGCTGAACACTTTGTTCCCATTAATTATGACATTTAGCGTCGCAATGTCTGCACCATACATGTGGTAGTAGAACTTGAGACACATGCTCCCGCTAAATTGCAGCTTGGGGCTGTTTAGTTTTGCATTGTCACCTTGCTGTCGAGGGCTTGATGTTTCGATGTACATGTAGTATCCTGTAGAGGTAGGCAAGAGCGAACTATCTTCAATTTCATTAAACAGTCAAGACTTTTCCAGGGGCCATTCCAGACCAGATTTTAATTTTCGTTTACTCAGAAAAACGTACTGAGTCAGATTAACGAATTAGCCTTTCATACCCTTCAGTTGTGCAGTCATGCGATTGCATATCTATACTGATTAAGGAAAGTAGTCAACACTCAACTACTCACAATTCGACAATCTAGGTAGAAAATTACTAGTATTTTGTAACGATGTTATGATGTCATAGGCCCTTCGGGCTTGCGCAGTAGGATGAGATGTATCCTGGATGTAGTTGTTGTTGTATTACGGCTAGTAATGGCGGGCTTTTATGAGCTTTATGAAAACCGTTGTGTTATCATCGTTTGGTCTCGTTTAGACTACGCTACATGTTGTCAGAAGTGAAACACACATAGTACGGAGCACTTTATTCAGCCAATGGCACAAAAGCAAGCCTCGTATCTTAAAGATACAACAGACTGTCTTAACTTCATCGAGAAGACTAAACTGTCTAAAAACACCATTCTTGTCTCTATGGACGTCACCAGTCTCTACACGGACATACCACAGGAGGAGGGTATTACCACTGTATGCGAAGCATATGAAGGATTTTACCAGGAGAACCCTCCAATTCCTAGCAGGTATGTAAGAGAAATGCTAAGTCTGATTCTACAAGAAAACTTGTTCCAATTCAATGGAAAAGATTACCTCCAAACTCATGGAACAGCCATGGGAACGAAAATGGCCGTAGCTTTTGCTAATATATTTATGGCCAAAATAGGAAAAGAAATACTGAGACAGAGTTACACAAAACCCATTTTTTGGAAAAGATACATCGATGACCTGATATCTATGTGGAACACAAGTAGGGACAAAACAGAAGACTTCCTTCTAAAGGCAAACAGTTTTCACCCAACGATCAAATTCACGGCTGAAATCTCAGAAACTGAAACTACATTCTTGGACACGAAAGTGTACAAAGGTGACAGATTCAATAAGGAATCTATTCTTGACGTGCGAACTCATTTCAAACCTACAGAGACCTTTCAATACACGAATTTCTATTCGTGTCACCCACCAGGCGTC